AGCTCGGCCCGGCCGAGTCCCCTCGCCTCGCAGCGCTGACAGTGCTGCTGCCCGTGCGTCTGGGCCCCAGCAGATCACCCAGAAAACCTCCGTGGCATCCCCTGGGCACGAGCGGCCCAGCATCCCTGGTTTTCCAAATCTTCCTCTGAAGATGAGTGCCAGGGGCACCCTCTTACAGCCCAACGTGCCCAGAGCAAAGCCCTGGGTTGTGCTTGCTGGGTGGTTTCTACTTGTTTCATCCTGTTTCTCCACAGCCCTTGTGATTACCGAGCAGCCAGTCTCTGTCTCTGTCCCCGTGGGATACTCCTTCACGCTGAGGTGCAGAGCAGAGGGTCGCACGTCGCTGCAGTACCAGTGGTTTTGTCAGCACCAGGTAACGGTGGGAGCAGAGGCAGTGCTGGGTATGGCACCAAGCTGGGTCCCTCTCCGTGGCGATGGAGCTGGTCCTCTGCGGGCAGAACTGGTGGGAACCAGGAGGCTAGAAGGAGAGCGGGATAGGATCCATGTGCATGCCAAGGGCTTCTGCAGACGCTGGGAGGGGGCGTGCAATGGTAAAACTCCTTCTGCATCCTGGTGGCTAGAGGAGGGGCAGAAATCGGGGATTTCCACTTTTCCTGCTCTTATGAGAGGCCTGCTGGTGCCTTCTACTACCAGCAATGAGACAGGACCCGCTGCCCACCTCCTGTGTTTTCCCTTTAGTCTGTCTGCCGCCAGATTCCTGGTGCCACCAAGCAAGACTTGCCCATCACTGCACAGCAGACCCAACTCTACACCTGCAGAATTAATGACCTCTACAAAAATGCCATCTTCTCTGACTGGGTGAAGGTGGAGGTCCATCAGTGTGTTGCCAGAGGTACAAGCATGTCTTCTAGCTTTTTGCTACTGTATGCTTTGTGCAGACATTGCATACCCTTGCAGTGGTGATCCTTTGTGGTTCCCAGGGCTGTGTCCCCTCCCAGCTCAAAAATCATAATACAGAAGGATTGTCCCAACAGTGTGAACCTGCAGGTCTAAGCCAGACCTCTGTACCCATCCTCTGGATGGTTCAGGTCCCTGTCATGGTCCGAATAACCCTGGCTGTATGTACCTGCTCTGCCTGCTGATCACTTGCTGTGGGTTTCCCAGAATTGTATTAGGTGTTTGCTTGTTTGCATTTGGCAGAGGGACTGGAATAGGCAATCTGGTAATTTCAATGTCAGGTAAAAATAACTCTGGGTGTGGTTGACCTCAGCATGTTGACTGTGCCCTTGACAGGAAAGGGCAAGCGTCAGGTTTGGGAAGCCAAAGGCAGGGCTTTGGTGTGTCATTACTATTGTAGGTGTTGCTCTCAGTGATTCCCTGCTCCCAGAGCGAAAAAGCAGAGTGGTGATGTCCCGTGGGATGGCATCTCTTGGTGCTTGCTTTTCTGGCAACACGCAAAGTCCTATACAGGGGAAAAAATTGACTGTTGTTTTCTGTCCTTGGGGAGGGAAGACCAATTCTGTGTTGCTGCTTCGCAGGACTGACCCCTCAGCTCTGGCGAGGAGAACCAGTCATTGTCCTCAACCCCACCGAGCAGCGGATAGAAGTGGGGAAGCCGCTACAGCTGCAGTGTGCTGCCATGGGGGTCCCAGCCCCCAGCTACCAGTGGTACCGGAATGGAAACCTGCTGGAACACCAGAGTAAAAAAAAACTTTCGGTAATGTTGCCTTGGAATAGTTCAGAAACTTTGACTGCTGAGGTGGGTGATGGGAGAAGCTCATTGCTAGATGGAGGGCGTGGGAGAGACTGCTGAAAGTTGTGTTATTGTCATCCTGTATGGCTCATATCTGTGTGTCAAGGCTCAGGTGTGCTTTGATCTGTGTGATCAGGTGAATGCAAGCAGAAAACAGTCTCTCCTTGACTCTCCAGCTGTTGAGAAGCAGCCTCGTGCTCAGCTGCTACCCTCCTGTGTTGCAGGGTTGTGAGAAGGCACTCTGTGTATCACCCTGTTGCTTTGACAGCTGACTGAAGGACTCTGGGTGAAGAGGGAATACATTTTATGGGCTTCTGTCAAAGCTGTGGATGTTTCTCTAAGAAGTAACCGATTCACAGATGTGTCAAGGGCTCTCAGCACGTCCCTCGTGCCTTTTTGCAGCGGTGGCGCAAGAACAGCTATTGTAGGTCTGCACAGGGGGTTGCAGAGTGGTGGAGCTGCAGGAATGTTGTCTGCCTGCAGTAGAGTTAGAAGGAAGAGTGGTTAGTCCCAACAGAAATGAGTCAGGGAGGCAGCAAAAGATCTGGTTCTATTTTGGGTCACTGGCTGAATGTAAATCAGTGCTGTTTTCTTGATGCAAGGCAGGCAGATTTCCTCCTGGGGCATCACATGAAGGGTAACGAAGACAAGAGATCCAATCTCTTGCCAGTAGTGGTAGATGATATTATAGGGGACAGTTACCTCAGGCTGCACTTTTCAGAGGGAAGTTCAGTCTGGGGATTAGGAAGAGGTTCTTCATTTGGAGGTGAGCGGTGCTGCAGAAAGACAGCAAGATCTTTCCTTGGAGGTTTTCAGTACTCAACTAGACAAAGCTATGGCCAGCCTGGCCCAGTTGTGGCTTTAGTTTCTCTCTGAGCAGAAATCTAGAGGATGTCACCTAAGGTGAAGAACAGGCAACCTTCTGACGCTGGCCATGCACCGTCCTCCTGGTGTGGCTCCTGAGACAGAGTATGGCTAGGACACAGGGGGCTGCTGGAAAAAGAAGGGTAAGCATTTGAGCAGAGGATTCTTGCACTCTAGAAGCTGGGGTCAGCAGCAGACCTTAGGACATGGCCTAACTGAGCTTCTTAGAAGACTAAGTCATGGGAAATCTTGTAGCTTTGTGAAGCAAGGAATGAGGTCTCATCAAACAGCAAGAAAAAAGACTTTTTATTCCAGGAACGTTTGGCAGATACTGGTGGGGGTGGGGGCTCACAAACTTTCACCATAAATAATGTGATTTAATTTTTGGTCTGTCTAGATCACCCACACAAAGGTCAGTGATGCTGGCACATACCTCTGCTGTGCCTCCAATAGCCACGGAGAGCACTGGACGAACGCTGTGGATATTCACATAGGTGAGCAGAGCCAACCCATGTCTGCTTTGCTGCAAAGCACCTTCTAGGGTGAAAAGTAATGAGAGGGCAGACAGGAATTTAATGCTCTTGCCAGGAAGTGCCAGGCTAGTGAATAAGGAGCCCAGTGTTGGCATGTAACCCTGGGGCTCACTGTGCAGGGAAAGCTGGGTTCCAGGGCATGGGATCAGGAAGAGTAGGATGTGTGGTTCTGACACTTGCACCTTCTCTCGCTTAGACAGATCTTGCATGCTTTTATAACACAAAAAAAAAGGGCCAACATTTTCTTTAAATACTAGTTCTGCGGAGAGATGAAGGTAGTACACTTCAGAGCAGAAAAGCAGCATGGGACTCTGCAGGGAAGCTGGAGTGTCCTGGCAGTCTTGTCACAGGAGCAGCCTGCAGAGCGCTATTTCACACCCTGGATATACTGGACACGATGATCTCAGCGGAACTGCACAAGCCCTGACGAGTGGTGGGTGCAGGCGTCCGTCAGACTGTGATAAGTGGGATTCCTTGATAACGGAGTTCAGTGGTAGTGAGAGAAGCAGCGTCTGTAAAAGACAAAACCCCCAAACCTGGTGATATGTTGTACCGTGGCGTGGGATGCTGCTGGGTCCTGCAGTCTATCAGAAAGCTGCCACATTCGAGTAGGTTGAGCACTCTTACCTCACTGCAGTTTTCTCGCCTGGCCAAGGTGCTGGTTTAATATCTCCCAGGCCAAATCACAGCAGGGTCCTATGCTAAGACTCATTTATAGCCTTGCTGAGATGAAGTGGTGCACTCAGATGCATAAAGCTGGAGAGGATGGTGTTTATTTTGTGAAGGTTCAGGCTCCTCAGGCTCACAGCCTAAGCCTGATGCTGCGTGAGCTGACAAATCCTTGAGAAGATGGGTCTCCACAGCCTCGGGCATGCTCCACCTTCAGCGTGACAGCCGCTTTGTCCCTCTGCCTTTGCCCTGCCGCGAGACAGGAATAGCTAGCTTTGCTGTCTCTTTACTCCATCTAGAGATTTTTCTGTGCCATAAGCTTCTCATCTCACCTTTTAGGCTGGTTTTAAAATTGCTCCAGAGTGCAAACTGGTCCTGTATAGCCAGAGAGCACTCTCCCTGCTTCCTTGCAGCTGGAAAGAACGTCATCTCGGGGGGGGGAGGACAGGCAGCGCAGAGAAAGGGGCGCAGGATTAGGTTGTGTTCGAAATGTAATGGCTGGGTAGCTTGAGTGTGCAACAGGCAGCTCTGTCAGAGATAGAAGAGGATAAGTGGGCTTGTTCCGATAGCTTTCCAGGCATCCCTGGAACATTAGCAACACTGTTTCAGGTGCTGAAGGTCTTCCAGATCTGTAAGATTTAATGCAATTTAAAATATGCCCTTAATTTCTTCTTTTAGAGCCCGTAGGGCTTCAGGGTTTTCTCCTGGGCTGGATTTTTAAAATTGCTTTTAATTTAAATAGGAAAAGCTAGAGTTGTTAGGATAACGATGATTTTAAGAGGCTGGGAGTGCTCAGGCAGGGGAGCTTGTGGAGCTCATTAAAGTGAGTCATATTTGGGGTGGCTTTTCTGAGCTGGAACTGCTAAAAGGCAGGGAAAGGCAAAGCAGGGTGGTGAAAGGCTCTGGGAATATTATCGCAGTCAAAAGCAAACAGTCGGCTTCCTCTGTGCTGATGACTTGGAGGGAGAAGCTCTCTGTTTTGAAGTTTATGTTGATCTTGAGTCATGTTTCCTTTGCTTTCACTGCAGCGAGGGAGTGGGCAAGTCATGTTGGGAAGCACAGCAGCCCAGGCAGGACAGACCTGCTGATGGGTACAAGCTCCTTTGTTCTGGCCCTCCTTCCCCTGGCCTCCCCCTTCTCTGAGTTTTGCTTCACAGTTGGTCAGGATTTCATAAATTCTCCCAAAATCACCAGACCAGCGTCTTTAAGGTTTGGCTATGAAGAAATTGCCTGAGGAGTGCTGCATATGCAGATGCTCCATTGTGTTTGTTCAGCTTTGCACTGCCAGGGGCCATGGGAGCAGGTTTCAGACCTGCGGTGGGAGCAGGTGCTGGGCACGGGCTTATCATTTCCCTCTTTCTTTTCCAGGTACATGGCACTCTGAAAAGTTTTTTGGTGAGTATTGTCATCTTTTCTTCCTGAGCAATTACTGCTTTAATTAAAAGCCAGGCTCCAAGGTGGGTGGGAGGACAGGACATAGGAGTGCTTTTCCTGCAGAGACTGCTTGAAGCCTTTATCCCCACATTGTCACGGGCTCTGCACTTTTGGGGTGGGATGAGTCCCATCCCCTCCAAGCCCTGATCAGTCACAGCAAGTGGAATAAGAGTATTCCTAATGAATAAGCCACTCGCAACCTCCATACCTGCCAAATGACTTTGTAAAGTCTTGTGCACACATCACCTTTTGCCTTCTTTGAAGTATGTCCTTGGAGCAGGGCAAAGCTCCTTGCTCCCACCACTGCTGAGTGCCATAAATCTGGTTTTCCTGAAGCTGAAGGTGGGGATAAAATGAAAACAGGAGCCCAGGGTTTCTCTCCTTCAGCCCCATGGGGGAAATGACCTCTTGGCCTGGCTCCATGCGTTTGCCTCCCAGGCACTGCTGGCACGCAAGACCTGCAGTCATGGTAGGGCAGATGCTGAATAACCTTGTTAGCATAGATCCTGCTGCACTCCTGGGATTTTGGTTGTCAAGTGAAAATTTTTCAAGTCTTTCTTTCAAAATGATGGTTTGTGTATTTTTTTTCAGCGTTCAGAAAGCCAAGGGCTTCCTGGAAAGTGCTGCAGGCTTGTGGCAGCATAGGGTTTATCCTTCCTGTCTTGATGTAGGAAAAGATTTCCTATATCCTCACTCCAGCAGAGGGAGGTGAGACCTCACGTCCTGCAGAGCGTTTACAGCTTTGTCACTTGGTGTTTCTTTTAGCTACAGGCAAGATAGCGCTTTTAGTGGGCAACAACCGCTACCAGCATCATCCCAACCTCATGGCTCCTGTCACAGATGTGTTTGAGCTGAGTCGTCTTCTGGAGCAGCTAGACTTCCAGGTTGTCTCCCTTCTGGATCTGAACAAGGCTGAGATGGTGACAGCAGTCAGTCGGTTCCTGCAGCTCCTGGGGAAGGGAGTCTACGGTAAGAGAAAGCCAGCCCAGCTACCTGCCAGTGCTGAGTAGGCAGCAGCTGATGTGCGGTTAACAGCAGTTGATGGCAGTGAGGAGGGATTTGGCAATTTTCTGAACAGCTGTTGAATTGAAAGAGAAGAGTTTGAACTTTCCTTTGGGGGAGGAGCTGGGGGAGGGGGGAGAGAGACCTGCAGCACAGTCTGCAGCGATGCCAGGCTTGGCAGAAGCCCCTAGATAAAACGCTGTTCAGTTTTGGCCAGGTTACAGGCAGGCCAAGCAGGTGTTTCTCCATCACATGCCTCACCTCCAATTCCAACAGCATGGTCTCATGCTGAGGTTTTGGGGTGCCAAACAGGAGGTCTTTTGATTTTTGCCTTAGATGACAAAAATTGAGGAGATTGACTGTCAATTGCCCTTACTCTCCTTTGTGAGGAGGGGAGCTCCTCTTGAGTCATGACTGCTACAGCTGGCCATGATTTCCTTGTTTCTCTTTCCTGATGGTCTAATTTGAGGCTCTGACAGCCTTTTTGCAGAAGTGCATTCCCAGCTGCAGATGGCTTTGAGGTTGGGCTTCAAGCTTATCACATGCTGTCCTCAATTGGAAGCATTCCTCAACCACAAAGCCAACCAGCAGATCTTGTGGATCTTAAAGGAGACGTTCAGATTTGGTGGTGAAAGTAGCTTCTTTGGGGTTTCTGAGGTTCTCCCAGCCCAACGGATATGCTGAAAGCACCTTGCAGGTGGTGGTGGTTTTCTTTTTTTTTTTGCTTCCAAACCTCAGCTCCAGGCTTATCTTCACCACCCTCTAAGCTGTGTGGCACAACGGGGCATTCAGTGAAAGTCAGCGTGGGCCAATTCCAGCCCAGTACTTTGCCTGAGGTTTGGAGGTTGTGCAATGGACAGGGACACCTTCAGGAATGAAATGCTGCAAAGCCACCTTGTTCTGGGAAACGCTCACTCGCTCGGGGAGGCTGAGCTGGCGGGGAGGGGCAGCACACAGTTGTTGTTGCTCCGGCCAAGTGCGTCATCTCGTGACAGCGTATTCCTATGACTTCACTTGCAGCTTCCTTTTGTGGTCGCTCTCTGAAATCCCCTTGCATCCTAGGCTTTACCTCCTCTCACTAGCCAGAGTCATCCCTGGGGGGTTACTATGCTTTTCTCACAGCACTGCGGTTCCTACCCTCTATGCATAGCACGTGAGGACCAAATGGCATTTTGTCCACAGCGCTTCCCTTGTTTTCATAAGCATTGGAGAGAAAAAAAATTGGGAAATGGCAAACCTTTCATGCTGTCATGCCTTATTTAAACTTCTATTGCTTTTCTGCATTCATGGCCACTGATCCTTCCTGGCAAAATTGATTTTGTGCACTGGCAGGGAAAACATTAACAGCTGAGTTACTGAACCTTGATAAACCTCAAGTGTTTGCTAGGCATAGCCTGCTCTGGATGGTGGTTTTCTTTACAGCTTTCTAAGATGAGTGGTCTACTATTATTTGGAGGCAGTGAACCCCAGCACAGGCTGGTCCCAGCAGCATGATTGAGTTCAGGACTCTTGCCATAATTGGTGGCATCCAGACCAGTTGATGGGGCATTGGGTCAGTCAACCTGCTGATTGTCCTAGGTTTTCTCCATCTGAGTGTGCTGCCTCTTGCTATGCTGCATCTTCCAGCATTTCTTCAGCTATTTTTTTTTTTACTTAAAATTAAAAGAACCAGGTGAAGAACAAATCACTGGAATTAGCTTGTCTTGTTAACAAAAAGCGTAGTTAGAAGAAGCTAACATATGGAGCAAAGCAGGCAGCTTGGAGGAGAGGGATGACTGGTGAAAGACTGTCATGGGACTGAAGTGAGAGACTGGTGTAACACAGACACACCTCTCGGCATGCCTGAGAAGTGAGGCTGGCTGTTTCCTGAAGTTCAACTGCAGCAGCAGAGATGCTGGGGCATTCATACATCTTTCCGCTGA